TATGTGATTCACACCCTTTGAATACTTGTCATTCCTTGAAATATTGTTGCTACGATACTGCGATAATTTCTTAGCGGCTTGGACCAGATGTCGACATTTCCAAGTCCTAAGATAAAGCACCGTAGCCCTAAATTTGACTTGTGGCCTCAAAGCACACCACAAACTCAACCCTACACCGCGGAAGTCGCGATGATGGACTTTTGTTCCACCTTTCCATAATTTTGCTCCTTTAGACATTATGAGCAAAAGTCTGAATCCGAGTATCCAATAATAACCAATAATTTGGGTCATCTTTAAGTTAGCATGTGTTCTTTAATGCCTTGTAAGTACTTTAAAAATTTCTTTGCAGCATAATCATTTAAAGTCATTTTTATAGTTGTTTAACGTACCAACAACAAATATATTATCAAACCTAGTACAGGTTTGTCTCGCTTAAGACTCCTAATCATTAATATCTAAGGAATTTCCTCCATCACTTTTCATTCCATTTCACCTTTCAAACATTTATTATAGACTAAATGTGTCCCTTTTATGAATTGGAATTATATGGAACAACCATCCATTGTAAATATCTCCAAAATCTCGAATAAAACTTTTGTAGGATAAACTTTTAGTCCTTGTGATCTATTCTAGAATATTTTATTCCAATTACCAAGGACGTTTCATCCATATCCTTTATTTCATAATTTTTGTAGAAATAATTCTTTACTTCGTGCAACATGTCCACATTATTAGCAACCATAAATATGTCATTGACATACAAAACTAAAATAACAGATCTACTCCCACTGACCTTAATGTAGATACACCAATTTACAGTATTCTCTACAAACCATAAACAGTGATGATATCATTAAACTTAAGATACCATTGACGAGAGGCTTGTTTTAGTCCATATATCGATCTATTCAACTTACACACTAACGTTTCATTTTTTGTGATCTCAAAAACTTTTAGTTAGTTCATGTAGATCTCCTTTTAAGTTTATCATTTAGAAGGTGATCTTTGTGTCCATTTGATAAAGCTCAAAATCATACAGAGGCACCATTACCATTACAATTCTGAAGGAATCTTTCTTGAAACGAAAGATAATGTTTCCTTGTAGTCAATGCCTTCCTTTTGGGTGTAACCTTTAGAAACAAGTCTAACTTTATATCTTTCGATATTACCTTTAGAGTCGTGTTTGGTTTCGAAAAACCCATTTACACCCAACTCTTTTAGACCCTTCAGGTAATTCTACTAATTTCCAAACTTTGTTGTCATCCATTGACTGTAATTATTCTTTCATAGCATTGATCAACTTTTACAGAATTTTCACTTTTCATGGCTTGTGATTTCATCAACCAAAGGTTGTTCTATAATTTCTTGATTGCTTTGTGATGATTCATTATCAATTGAGTTTGGATCATTGTGTTATTCATCTAAGTTACATGACGGTACTGTAACTAAAAGAATAACAACCATTGATGGACTCTCAGGTTAACACTGTTCAACCCGAGTTTCTTTGACATCCAAACTTTGTAGTTCCAAACTCCCACTGATTTGATCATTTTTAATGAATCGAGCATTGCTGGAATCAACTATTCTCGTACTATGATTAGGCCTATAAAAGTTATATCCTTCAGAACTTTTCCGAATAGCCAATGAGAAAACCACTGACTGTCCTAGGATCAAGTTTTTTTTCATGTGGATTATATACTTTTACTTCTGCTTGACACCCTCAAACATGAAGATGCCTCAAACTAGGTTTCCTACCCTTCCATAGTTCATAAAAGGAACTATTTTACTAGGAACCTTGTTTACCCAATATGCAGCAGTCCACATAGAAAACGTTAATGTTGAATTTCTCAACATACTCCTAACTATATTCTTTAAGTACGGTTTATCCTCTCAGCAACACCATTATGTTGAAGAGTCTCAATTGTAGTGTATTGCACACAAATATTTCAAATCTCAAGAAACTTTGCAAATGGACTAGAATATTATCCTCTTTCATTGAACTTATAATAATATTCACCAATCTAAGGAAATCTCACAACTTTTACTTATTTATCTAACTACCTTTCCATCTTATCATTGTATATTTTTGGATAGTCCAATGATTGAGTCATTTAATGTAGTAGATAAATATAACCATAACGTGAGAAATCATTTATAATGGTGATTAAATACTTTACATCACCCCATGAAGGGATGTTGAATAGACCACAAAAATTAGTGTACATAAGTTATAAGATTTTAAGGCTTCTCCTGGCAGATTTCTTTAATGTATGCTAGTTTGCTTTTCTTTAATTCATTTTATACATACATCTTGATCACTAAAATCCAAAAATGGTTTCATTATTCACTATTCTCAAAACTTTTCTTTGGATATGTGACCATAATCTTTAATGCCATAAGAGAGTAGAATTTTAATTATGTGCACTACGTTTAACCTCAAAATAAATATGAGATGCATAAGTAGTTGCACAGAACCAAGCCACCAAGTATAATTGGGAATCTTTAATAAATTTGATTCACAACATACAAAAGATTAATGTATGTCTTTCTTTTCGAATCAAGATTTTATTTCGGGCAATCTTTCCTAAGGTGGCCTAGCTTTTTACAAAACTAACACCTTATTTATTTAATGATTGGACCTACAAAAACTTTAAGTAAGTCAGTCTCCTTTTATTTGCCTTTATTTCCCATTTTATCTTACTATTATTGGCTCCCACATGAGATATAAAATGAATCGACTCTTCTTTCATCTCATTTAATCCCACCTCTTCCTGCACCAGCGTAGCCTTAATTTCCTTGCAGTCCTATTTATCTTTAATGGTGTTATAGTTCACCTAGGATTGGCCAAACTCGACAGGTAAGGAGTTCATGATGAATAAAACCATAAATGAGTCTATCACATTCATTCTCATGTTTGCAAGTTTAGCTTATATGTGGAACACATGGATCACGAAATCATGGATGGAGCGGAATCAGATGAACTTTTATAGTGAAGAGTACATTAATTTTTTTTAGGAACTCTTTTACATTATTAGCCTTAATGTTATCCCCCATGATTAACTTCATAAAATTCAAACACAACCTATTTGATCGCTCACATACCCTACGAAGAGTTATCTCTACTTCGGAACTCTCATCAGTAATGGTTGTGGGAAATTCATCAATAGTTAGAGTCATATCCAAATTCATTGAACCTAACTGAAATTGGATATGCTTAGACCATTCATTGAAGTTCATCCAATTGAATTTTTAAACTATAATATTGTATGGATAACCAAATTTTGAACGCTGCAAACTTCAATACATGCTATTAATTAAGCTTTGAGAGACAATTAATGGATTCAGATATCTTTTAAATTATATATTTAAATATACCTTTGGGCAAATACTTAAATATATAATATACTTGATTGATGCCTCAGAGGAAAGTTCTTTAATAGAAATTATAGGTATTGTGATTAATTAGTGGTTATCTTTGGACAAACACACTAATTAACCTAACTTTAATATAATTTCTCTTTTATTGTCATATATTACAAACCATGGCCCACCTTTGGGTGTCCTCCTAGTTTATAATCTATAACGTCAATTATTCAAATATTATAATATTAGGGTACATTAATAAGACATCGTCTTATATTTGAATAATTGATACTTTTATCTAATTTAATTATCTATTCCATAAATTAAACTAGGCCACTTTGGTGACTAACTAGTTTCTTTACATAGATAATGTAATTAGAAAATATTTTATATGATCATATTATGAGATATTCATACTTTTATAATCTCTGAAATTAGCCTTAAGAAAAATACCATTTGAATATATATCTTAGTTATTCTAAAATCTCAGCCACATAATTAGCTTTTCATGATCAAGGATTTAAGTTGGCTACATGATCAATAGCAAATACATATTGGCCAATAAATAATTGATCAATCATTCAATTAATAATACAAAACTACATTTACGAGAACACACTTTCAGGATTTCAACAAATAATTCCCAGAGTTCAATTGCAGGCCACTTACGACAATTTAACAAACTTTCAAAGAGTCCGAGCAACACCAATACATGATACATTGTAATATCCCAAAATTAATTAGCAGACCATCATTAATTGTTCAAAAATTGGGATGGGTAGTGTAAGACCATCACTCGTGGAGCAGTATAATATATTAGACATATAAGTGGTTGGAACAGATTATTTGATCACAATCCAACAGTTCAGACATGTTATAAATCGATTTCCGATTTGAAGCAATTCAATATAAATCAACAACGTAATTATTTATTCATGTAAGCTTTTATTTGGCAAGATAATCATGCATAAACACATGCTCTGATACCACATGTAAGAAATTTCATGGGCATACTCATAACTATTAGGCGGAATTGAATAAACCCTAAGCATGTAATTCTATCAATTCATAAAATGTGGATCTTTGCATAAATTAAATTGCACATAGAACTTACACGAATCCAGCTTATAGTCCTTCCCTGTTTTCTTGATCTATGATGTTGATCTGCGATCTCTTCCTTGTAATCTCATGGATCTATCTTTCTCATAATCTCCAATGATGGATTCACCTTTGCCTATGAATTGTTTCTCTCTCCCGCGTCTCTCGTCTTTTCATAAAACCCTTGATGTTGAGAACTTTATTTCCTTGATGTTGAGAACTTTATTTCGTCTTTTCATAAAGCCCTTGATGTTGAGAACTTTATTTCGTATGAGATGGGAGAGAGGGCATGTAGTATATATAGGAGGAGTCCTACAAACCTATTCCTACTAACATTCCCCATGTTCTAACCTAACTTACTGTCCAAGTCAAACATCACAAATTGGACTCTTTAATATTAGAACATTAATAATCCCTTAAATACATATTCACCTTAAATAAGTTTGACTATTAATTCAATTAGGTCCAACTAATTATATGGTCCACAATAATAGAATAATATAAATATTATTACAGAATAACCAACCATTAACATCTTAATGAAAGGTAAATATTTTTGGAATAGTAGTTTTTGGGATTGCAGAGCCAAGGATGGGGATTCTTGGCTCTGGAAAAGTTGGCTTAGTGCTAGGGGTTCTTTGAAACTGGGGGCCAGGATGGAGGTGGGAGATGGGACTACTATTAAGGTTTGGTACTCTCCTTGGATCCCAAACAATACCTCTTTTAAGCCTAGATGTTGTTTTTGGGGGGACAAGGGTAGAATTAAGTGGGTGAGTGAAATAATTAAAGAGGGGGGGGGAGAGAGTAGGATAAGGAGCTCATACTTCAAACATTTGATCCTGTTGATGCAGCTAATATCATCAAAATTCCTATAGCTACTCACAGGAAAAAAGACAAGTGGATTTGGAATGGAGGGAAGGAAGGTGAATTCTCCACTAAGGCTGTGTATCACACTATCAGAGAGTCCAGGAAGATTCAAGCCTCTCATGCATCTTCAAGTAAGCCTGGGTCATGGTGGAAAAACATGTGGAATGTCCTATGGCATTTAAATATCAAACCTAAGGTCAAGCAGTTTATATGGAGATGCTGGTTTGGTTTTGTGGGAGTGAAAGGGAATTTAGCAAAAAAAGGAATGGGAGTGGATCAAATCTGTCAGGTTTGTGGAGACTCTGGAGCACCTGTTATTCTATTGTCATAAAACATTGAAGTGCTGGAAAATCAGTGGTGTGGAATGGAACCTCTTGAAGCAGAAGACAATGAACTTTCAAAGGTGGTGGCAGGATCTGTATTAAAGGAATGGGCAAAGCTTTAAGGGACAGAATTCATCTCTCAGCATTTTTGATGTGGAATGTGTGGAAACCAAGGAACAAATGGGTATTCAAAGGGGATTGGATACATGAGATAGAAGTGGTGGCTAAAGCTAAGGTTGAATGGATGGAATGGGACAATAAACAAGCTCATGAAGTCAATGATCCTAATGCAGATGAACTTTTTGAGGGAGTAGGTAAGCCTTGGGTGGCTGTCAGTGCTCATTCATCTGCACAAGGTGACATTGTAGTGGATTGTGTGGTAAAACATGGTAAGGAGAATCAGATTCAATGGGAAGGCCAGCTCATAGGAAATTCAATTGCTACTTAAGCAGCTCTCTTAGCTACTCATTGGAGTTTGGACAAGCTGAGGATTCTTAATCTCAATATGAATTCAGGTGTCTGTTACCTGAATAATGCAGCAGCAGTCCAAATGTTGCAGGAAAGGAATGCTAATGGAGTCGCTTTTAATCAGCTTATTCAGCAGATTTTGAGTCTAGCTACTTGCTGTAGTATTGAGCAATTTATGTTATTGTAACTTTTCTTGGTTATGTATTTTGATTTGTTGTAGTGCTTTTTCTTCGTGTGACCTTGTTTGGTCTTAAGAGGGTTGGATTTTAATCCTTCTCGTTACCTTTGGGTAGTGTAATCAGTTGATTACTCGTGTATTTGAACATCTGATTTGAGTTTAATGAATTTGGTTGTTTGACTTTGAAAAAATAAAAAAAATAAAAGAAAAGGAACATCGTAAGTGTTATAACTGTCACTAATAACGTTACATTTTACTCGAGCTTCACTTCAAAACTGTCTGCACATACTAAAGCAAGTCCATGTCACAATTCAGGCTGCATGACCTCACAAAACCATGTTAACAGGAAAGTTGATTAGAATCAACGGCCCAAATAAACACACTATTATGTTTGAACAAGAACACAGAGCACTCTAAAGAGGCAAGCATGAATATGAATTCGAGACAAAATTTACTATCATTCATAGAATTGCAGTCTTGATCACACAATCTTAGGCGAAGCCCAGTTTCCGGACCTGAAATCTTCATAGAAGCTTGATCTCCTCGAGACAACAAAAAACACTGCAACAAAAACGAGTCCATGAAATATAAAGCAATGAACTTTAAATTATCTTAAATTGCATAGGTACAATACCAATTTTCCTTAAATGACAAACCAGGAATTCCAGGTACAATAAAATCTTGGTTTTTTAGGATGTCATTTAGCGTTTTTTTCTCGTTTACTTTCACCCATCGTGGACCTTCACCTGTAGACAATGAATTAAGTGATTAACAGTAAATCAATTATTTTACCAAAAAATAAAATAAAATAAAATTAATTTGAAAATAGACCACCACAGCTACCCAGAGATCTAAAGATCTCCAATATAAGCTGTGTGCATCCTGATATAGAACGAATGCACACTACTTCAAAAATAATGCAGAAACTTTATAAAGGAGGTTATTTTTTTTCCCATCAATCAACCAGCCAGGAAAAAAGAAAATATACAGTCGTATCATATAATAACTTCCGTGAAAGACAATGGATCCAGCTCAACACTTCGTGACAAAAGTTATAGCTACGCCACTTATAGCTAAATATGATAATGATGATATTCTCAAATTAAGCATTTTGCTCTTGTTGTGCTTTGTTATAATCTGTTCAAGGGTGTGTTAATGAATGTGTTGCTAGAATTTTCCCATTCATAACAAATTCACATATTGTTAAACGTACCACTTGAGAAGGAAGTATGAGCTCCAAACTCGGTGTCCCGAACTCTATAATTTTCCAGATGAGCTGCAGCTATCCCTTCAAAGAGATAACTAACAACTTCTTTTTTCGACAAACAAACTCCTGAGCCAGCCTGTTAGATCAATATATTCATGAACCCAGCAAAAGAATGATTAAAATTTTAGAAACATGTTGGAAATTCATATCTGATGGTGCTAAAATTAGCGCCATACCAAAAATAATGATTTAGGTACAAATTTACTAAACAGCCGACATGCAGACATTAGACTTCACTCTAATAAACCTTATCGAAAAAGAGATCACAGAACAACCTCTAGGCTCTGTGACTCCTCCTATTGATTATAAACTCGAATAACACATATTAAAAGAATAATTCACCAATCAACACTTACATATAACTCGGTCATTTTCTGAGACATAACAACAGTTCTGAAACCTAAAGTGGTGCAAGTGTGTCCAAAACCAAACCACTCTCAACCTAAGCCTAATAAATGAAAACTTAGAACTCCTACTATTTTTAAGTATTGAAGCTCAATGACACATCATGAATTAAGCTCAACAACAACAACAACATAGCCTTTTAATCCCAAGCACATCATGAATTAAACTCAATGGTACAAAAACCAAACCTCTCGAACTAAGCCTAATTCACCAATCTACTTCACAATTATCTACATCGTCTTCAAACCCCATCACACATCTTGAACTAAAAATTTCTTTTATTTCACACTTTTCCCGATCTTTTACAATGGGGAAGGTTGGTTAACATTTACGAATTAAATACTCCACATCCATTTCTTCACTTTTTCGTGAAAGAAAATCACAGGTAGTCCTTTACCTCATAATATAACTCAAGAGCATCACGCGTGTATGCATTTTTGGTATCCCAAGGCAAAGGTGGACTATCCTCTGAGAACATGTTAAAAAGCTAAGGATGATCACAAACGTCAAAGACTTGTTTAGTAAACATTGATAAAAGAAATGGCAATAATAAATAAACTGAAATTGACAAAGGAATAAGAAAAGCTTTGGCAAGGATATCATGTCCAGATGAACTGAGAGCATATCAGTCTCACAGAAATCCTCGATGATGTCACCCGACATAACCTCAGCATAAAGAAATAAAACAGGCCAATGAAGAATATTGTTCTTGTCTAACACTGGCTTTTTAACTCCCGTGAGCTCTTGGTACATTGGCTTCCCAAGTTTTATCTGTCTATCTTCGAAGGCAGTGACAAAATCCTGCATCATAGAGACATGAAAGTTTAAAAAGCATGTGAAATATTCCAAGCAGTCAAATATAGGTCTTCTAAAGAGACCATGGATTTAAACCTCAGCAGTTGTCACGGCCTTGGAAATTTCAAGTTCACGCTGTTCGTATTCCGATTTCTTTACATTTATTTGCTCAGCTAGCTTTATCAGTTCTACATTGTCTGCAGAAAGCTGAATGCCTTTCTCGCAATATGATTTTGCTTCATCTATCAGGTTCAGTGATAATGATGCTTTGACTGCCCTGTAGATAGCCTACATACAACAAAAGAGATTTCAGTAGATTTTTAGAAGCTATAGTAGTATAGACGAAAAAAAATAATGGAAAAAAAAAAAAAAGCAACCTTAAGATTTGTCGGACAAAGTTGCAATGCATCCTCGGCATCCTGTAAAGCTCGTCTGTAATTCCCCAAGAGCAGATTGACATGAGCCCTGTTCGAATAAAGAATAGAGTTATCTGAATCACTTTCAGCTTTCTGATTAATGGCTCTTGTGTAGCAATCAATAGCATCTGAATAGTGCTTCTTCCCCTTTTTCACATACTCATTTCCCTTTTCCTGAAAAAAGGCACAAGAAAATCAACAACTTATCGAATTTTGTTATGCTTTTGTGCCTTCAAATGAAACTTCTATTACTTGATCAGAAGAAATAATTTTCCTAAACAAAAACCAACATTTTGTGTGGACAACATACTTTGATTGAAAAAAATTAGTTTCAAACAAAAATTAAAACGACCAAAAATAGATGAATAGCAATGGTTTAATTTTTCCAATTCTACTCTTCTTTTACCAAATAAGGGATTCCGGCAATTATGGAGAAGCACAACTAAAGATTACTTCACCTCAGAAGATTATCGTGAAGTGTTTAAATTTCATGAATGACGACATTTTGAATAAAAAATATTAACTGTTCACAGCCAATGAAGCATCATAGTATACATCGAGTGATGGAAACCCAAACTCCATTTAAAGATGCAAATTTTAATCATAAACAACATTCAAATGCCCCTAAAAGAAACATATATATCATTCAAACATAACCCCCCACCT